TTATTGTAAAAATAGTTTGACCTTAAAGACTTTCTGAAAAGGTCCAGAAATCTCCAGAGGTCCCCAGAGCACACTTTGAGAACCTCTGGTATAAGCTTAGGGAAGTAACAAATAGCCCAACTAGCTGAAGACTATGAGTCAACATATCCATGCCTTATTTACTGCAACAACTGTTTTTGAAGTCTGAGAGAGAAAAAAGAGACCAATAATTAACTCCTGCCCATCCAGCCAAGATATAGAGAAAATGGAGATAATGTTTCTAAAGGGATGCAGACCTCTGGAAGTAAATAGATGAAAACTGTGATCCTAAAATTAAGTATGTGGTTTTCTCCTTGAATAAATTGAAATAAGAAGCGTGTCAGAATGTACAGATACGGTAGATGCTTTCTTAAAGTGGCATGATCAGGTATAACGTATCATACTCAAAGCCTTTAAAATTAGCCAGTCAATATTAATTGTGCTAAAATCATTGAGATTGTCAAATGCAGTGCTAATTTTGTATCTAGAAATAAATTTTCCCCTGAATTTTTTGTTTAAAAGAACTATCAATGCTTTTAGCTAGCACATAAAAAAAAAAGAACTTTCTATACACTTACTAAAGGAAACAACATATCTTCTATTTTTTAAAAAAGGAAGAAAAAAACACTTTTACCTGGCAGCTGAGATCGCAAAGCCTTATTTATTTGTTTGTGAACTATGCACCTGCATGCTTCATCTGTTTATAAACTAAACACTAACCTGTATAAGAAATATGTTTTTGCAACATTTACTCTTTTTTCTTCTCTTTTATTTGTATGCTTTAATGGTGCATCTATTTGTTTTGCTAAAGAGTGAAATCATTTTATTTTCACTTGAATGTATACAAGAATTCCTGTCTTCCTATAAACTTTCAACATATTAACTTGCATTACATTCCCCCGACAGTAAGTTGTTACCAATGATACACGTTGACTTTAACACAGCATTTATCTTGGGAAGGGAGAGGACATATTTATTTGTATATATCATTTTGTTAGGGGAAATATTTTACATGTAAACAAATGTATTCCTTGGAATGTTTTTGTTTGACTTTAGTTAAACTCTTTCACTAGAAGTAGCATAATCGCCACTGATTTCTCTGAATATAGTTCAGATTTTCATTTTAGACCGTTAAGAGATCCACCCAAAATTATATTTTCAGATTCTTCTTTCTAATAGGTGTAAGGTATGGGACAGGTAGACCAGAGAGTTACGGAAAATGTGCAAACAATAAACCTAAAGCATTAGTTCCCCACTCCTGCCTTTTTTTTTTTCTTAGATCAGTCTCATGAGCACCAGGGCTAGAGATAAATATATATGAGTTATGTATCAATATATGTCTGGTGGTGGTGGTATCCTTGGGTATACCCAAGGTTTTTTATAGCACATTTTAAAAATTGACTTGTGTGGAAAATATTTGATGACATTCTAGCCTGTCTTTTTGTTCTGTTTTTTTGAGACAGGGTCTTCTCTGTCAACCATGTTGGAGTGCAGTGGCACCATCACGTCTCACTGCAGCCTCAACCTCCCTAGCTCAAACGATCCTCCCGCCTCAGTCTTCTAAGTAGCTGAGGCTACAGGCTCGCACAATCCCACCCGGCTAATTTTTCATATTATTTGTAGAGATGGGGGGGGGGTCTCCCTATGTTGCCCAGGCTGGTCTCGAACTCCTGGACTCAAGTGATCCACCCACCTCAGCCTCCCAAAGTACTGGGATTACAGATGTGAGCCACTGCACCCAGCCTGACATTTTATCATGTCTTATAAAACATTTTATCTATACATTCCTGCTCAGTTCCATGTATCATGAAACAAAGGTTGAAATACTTCTGCCTTAGAAAGAAATCAAATATATTTTAAAATATTAACAACTACTCCAGAAATCATCCAAGAGGGTGAACAAACAGGAACTGAGAACAAAGCCATTATGGCTTTTGCTTTAAAATTTTCTTATAGATTTTGGGTAAACTCTTATATTTGACCTCAAATAGTTAAAAAAGAAAATAAAACTTTACGGATAGTCAAGATAATGTGAACGCTTATCTCAAGTATTTTCCAACACGAAATATATAGTGTATTTTCCAACACCAGTTCTCTACCTCTCTGATTCTCTGACACCAACTGGGTGTCCTACAGTTCGATCCTGTTCTGGCACTAACTCCCCAGGTTGGTGTCAAACAGATTTAAGGGCTGAGTATTATAAGAGTGACCTCATTTTGGTCACCAGGCACACGTATTGAGCCCCCAGGTTACCTGTACTATAAATTCAGGGGTTTGCACATCCCGCCCCCAACCCCCCGACTCAGGATTGATATTTGCTATGGCAACTCACAGAAATCAGGAAGGTGCTATATACTATTATAGTTAATAAAAATGAACAGCCAAATGAAGAAGTACATAGGGCGAGGTCCAAAAGAGGCCAGAGCACAAAAGCCTCTGTCTCCATGGAGTTGATATATTCTACCCTCCCAGTGCATGGATGTGCTCACTGACTTGGAAGTTCTCTAGTCCCTGTTGTTTAGGGCCTTTTATGGAAGTTCCATTACGTAGGCCTAATTGATTAAATCATTGGCCATTGGTGGTTGGACTCATCTCCAGACCCTGTCCCCTCCCCAGAGGCTGGGAGGTAGGGCAGAAAGTTCCCACACTCTTATACCGTTGGTCCCTCTGGCAACCAGTTCCTATCCTGAAGTTGTCTAGGGCGTCGATGAGAGTCACCTCAGTGACATAGACTCAGGGATGGTTGAAAGGAACTGGTTTGAATAACAAAAGATGCTCCTTCTCTATCCTATCGCTCAGAAAATTCAATTTTAGGAGGTTAGTGCCAGGAATCACGGACCAAGATGAAATATATTTTTGTTTTACTGCTGGGTTTCTTCTAGGTAGTGGAGACAAGGTTTTGGAGGTATGGCAAGGAGAGATAGTTTTCTTTTCATGTTGAACACTCCTGAATCTCTTCCCTAACAACATTCATTGCATCAGTTATCTATTGCTGCCTACCATAATACCCTTAAAATGTTAGTGGCTTAAAACAACAAACATTAACTGTCTTATAGTTTGTAAGGGACAGGAATTCAAGCACAGCATAACTAGGTGCTTCTGGCTCAGTCTCCCATGAGATTGCTGTGTAGCTGGCAGCCAGGCCTGTGGTCTCATCTGAGGACTCTAAAAGGGTGAGGCACTTGCTCCCAAGTTCACACATGTGGTTGGGCAGTCCTCAGTCCTCACAACATGTGATCCAATTAAGAGAGAACAAGAAAGGGCCCCCAAAATGGAAGCCACAGACTTTTCACAACTTAGGTTCAGAAGTGATACCCCATCACTTCTGCCATATTCTGTTCATTAGGTGTGAGTCAGTAAATCCAGTCTATACTCAAGAGGAGAGGATTACACAAGGGGATGAACAACAGGAGGTAAGATTATTGAGGCCCATTTTAGAGGCTACCTACCATATTTACCCAAACATAATGCATCTTGTTTTGGTAAGTGGTAAGAAACACTGTACAACAGATGAGGAAGGAAATTATAAGGACATTTATCTGATTACTTAGTCACTTTTACTTTCTAAAACTTCTCCAAAGTTTTGCTCAAAGTGTCTTCACTGATTAAAACCAGTTTTGATTAATTTTGTAGTCAGTACCTGGATCTTGGCAAGAAAGCTGTGTATAATCAAGGAAATAAAATCTCAGTAGAAGAAAATGAGTTTAGCTGTTTATTTATTTATTTATTTATTTATTGTCAAATTGTTAATGCTCTCATATGCCCATGTTTTTAAAGGGAGAACCAGGTTTCATTGGTCCTCAAGGAGAACCAGGCTTACCAGGTTTACCAGGAACAAAAGTAAGTGGGCCTCTTTCTTTTTCTTCCTTTCTTTCCTTCTTTCCTTCCTTCCTTCCTTCCTTCCTTCTTTTCTTTTCTCTTTCTTTCTTCTTTCTTCTTTCCTTCTTTCTTCTTTCTCTCTCTGTCTTCCTTCGTTCCTTCTTTCCTTCCTATCTTCCTTCCTTTCTTCTTTCTTTCCTTCCTTCCTTTCTCCCTTTCCTTCCTCCCTTCCTTCCTTCCCTTCGCTTCCCTTCCCTTCCCCTTCCCCTTCCTTTTCTTCCTTCCCTTTTCCTTCCTTCCTTCCTTCCTTCTTACCTTCCTTTCTTCCTTCCCGCCCTCCCTCTCTCTCTCTTTCTTTCTTTCCTTACTTCCTTCTTTCTTTCTTCCTTTCTTTCTCTCTCTTTCCTTCTCTCTTTATTTTCTTTCTTTCTTTTTCTTTCTTTTATTTTCTTTCTTTCTTTTCTTCCTCCCTCCCTCCTTCTTTCTTGCTTGATTTCTTCTTTCTGAAATTTTTGTCATATATTTTTAGTCCACTATGTTGAAAGAAATGTGGGATAACTTCATAATTTAGGTTGCCAGATATTTTTGCCTAATAGAGAATGAAAGCAGCTTAACCTACCTATTACTAACACTTCTAATGGGACCACTGTGTTTAATATTGAGTAGTGGAAAGTTAATTCTAGAAAGCCTTAGGCAAGACAACAGGATGGTGGAATATTTTAATTGTTCCACTTGTCCCCCAAATTGCTCCTAAACTGATAGGATGCTATTAGCCTCCTGGCCATATGGAAAAGTAGAGGAATTCTGAGGAGGAGAGATAGAACTCATTAACTGCTGCTCCTCATCACCATTTTCAGGATATACTTGTAAATCAAAGGTTATTACAATTCCCATTACTCCCCAGATTTCAAAGGCAAGTACTGATGTCATATAGATTCCTAAGTGCCTCATCCCAAAAGGATCTACTCTGAATAATGTCTGCAAAAATATTCCATAATGAAAACCATCTCATGATCTTCTGCTTGGCAACCCTAGAGAGGGCTCTAAAAGCAAAATCTGTGTGCTGCCATGTAAAAAAAAAAATGCTGCTATGAATACAGTCAGACCCAGAGTTCTCTTTTAATCTACCCTGAAAGACATAAAAAGTACAGCTCTGATGATGGAACTTTACTCATGACAGACTCATGAATCAAAGAAGGGGCAAAATTACATCAAACTACATTCTTTTATTTTTAAACCACAGCAGTCTTTGCCTCAATGTGTATTGCATTCAACAGAAATAAGCCAGGGATGATTTCCAAGAGTTGCAGAAATATGTTCATGGTCTGTTCTGACAGAAGGGTCCTCATTTCTTCTGGTCAAGTGAAAATAACTCTAAAGCTAGTAAATGGAAACTATGTGTGTCCTAGAGGGGATTGAAACTCCATCGGATTATGCAAAATTGTTTTCTTAAGAAATTTCTTCACATAATGAGCTGTCAGGCTTATTAACAAAATATGAGGAATGCCTGTTTTAGCCTGAGCAGATTCACACAAGAAATGTCTTTCTGGAATAAAAAGAGAGAGTGAGAGCAAGAAAATAATGAGCGTTCCCTGTTAATACAAGAACTGTTGTATTTATTCAGGCTTGCAGCCTCAGAGCCAGGGGAGGAAAGAAGGCAGCCTCGCAGATGGGCGTGATACACAAAGAAAGGGAGGCCTGGTCAATGAAGGAGAAAGCCAGGCGTGAACTGGATCTAAAAGCGTGTGTGGCATTTTGTGTACTGTACAAGGGAAAATAGAAAAAACACAAGCAGTAGAGAGTGGAGTTCATTCCTAAATATCTTTTCTTTAGTTACCTGATTTTAAACTATTCTGCAGTTTCAGAAAAAGTTCCAGACATAGAGGCATAAAATCAACATTAATTACTGTTATGAAGAACCTAGCATGATTTTATAGACCAGGTACTCATATAACAGATACTACTCTGAACCCCAAATAAAAGTAAAGAATGTACTGTACCTATTTTGTATTTCCTCTGAGGGGATATGGATAGGAAATTCATTTTACTAACATTACTTTGAGGTTAATTGTCAGCTGAATTACTTACCTTAAATCAGCTGTTAAAACAGCAACATGCACGTGCACATGTATACACACATGAATATTATTTAAATATCTAATTCGTGTTGAATCCACATATGCTAAATATAAATGTTATGGTTGGTTCAGTATGATAATGGGAAAGTCATGATTATTTTA